AGTGGGTTCATAATTTCACAACGGGTGAGGAGCCTGAGGGATAATTCCGAAAACCGATCCGATAGTGGCAACATGCCCGCCAACACTTCGAGACTCATCGTATGAGTCGAGTGCATGCATCCTAACGCGATACGAAGACAGCGATACTGGATCCGTTCCAGTTTGATGATGTGAGTTTTAGCCGCCGACTGGAAACAAAAACTACCGTATTCTAAAACCGATAAAATCGTTGTCCGGTACAACGTTAGAAGATCTTGCGGATGGGCTCCCCACCACGTTCCGGTAATTGTTCGGAGAAAATTGATCCTTTGTTGGCATTTCCGCTTCAGATACTCAATGTGGGATCTCCAGGTGCATTTTGAATCGAACCAGACCCCAAGATATTTGAAGGACATAGAATGAGTGATCGGTTTACCCAAAAGTTGAAGCTTTGGTTGTGCTGGGCTATGCTTCCTAGAAAAAACGATCAATTCAGTTTTCTCCGTGAAAAATTCGATACCTAGCTGGATAGCCCAAGTAGACAAATTGTCTAAGGTATCCTGTAAGGGTCCTTGCAGGTCGGCCTCTCTGGGTCCTGTCATAGACACTACTCCGTCATCTGCAAGTTGTCTCAACGTGCAGTTGTCACTTAGACAATTGTCAATTTCTCTGACGTAGAAATTATACAAAAGGGGGCTTAAACATGAGCCCTGGGGGAGACCCATGTAGCTAAATCGTGAAGCTGTAGAGTTTCCATGAGAAAAGCTCATATGTTTCTCTAACAGCAAATTGTACAAAAAGTTATTAATTAATGGAGAAAGGCCACAAGCGTGGAGTTTGTCTGAAAGGACTTCAACCGATACTGAATCAAAAGCCCCCTTAATATCCAAGAAGACAGAAGCCATTTACTCTTTTTTAGCAAAAGCCAACTGAATTTCAGTGGAAAGCAACGCGAGACAGTCGTTCGTTCCCTTGCCCCTACGGAAACCAAATTGAGTATCTGAGAGTAGGTGGTTCAACTCAACCCATTTGTCCAGGCGAAAAAGGATCATTTTCTCCAACAATTTTCGAATACACGATAACATCGCAATGGGACGATACGAGTTGTGATCTGACGCGGGTTTTCCAGGCTTTTTAATGGCTATAACTCTCACCCGCCTCCAATCATCCGGAACAATATTAAGCTCCAGGAACTGACCAAACAAGTTTAACATGCGCCTCTTAGCGACGTCTGGGAGGTTCTTCAACAAGTTGAACTTGATTCTATCAGCCCCCGGAGCCGAATTGCGACACGAAAGGAGCGCGAGTGAGAGCTCCAGCATTGAAAAAGGCTGGCTGATCTCGTCTACCGAATTCGTCGTTTCGCGAGGAATCATCTGTGCCGGCACAGAATCAGGACATACTTTTCGCGCGAACTTGAGAATCCAACTATCGGAGTACTCCTCGCTCTCGTTGTTTGAAGACCGGTTACCCGAGCAAAGTTAGAGATCAAATTGACATCAGAATTTGCTGTTATGATGTAACTTATTTTGAATACTCCATTTCATCTCATTTTGGTTGACTTAACGGTTAACACAACAAAAATGAGAGCAACATTTTACACTGTTGAATCAAACGGAAAACTTATCCTGCTCTCAATGAAATCAATTTGATTACTGATTTTGCATTCATAACGTTTAACTGAATACGGGCCTGGCGTAAATGGTTAGCATCCATGCTTTTCACACCGAACGACTTGATCTCAAATCTCACCTCGGTTTAGTCACGAATGACCTAAAATGTGTTAAACAAAACAAATAACCAATAATCGTTATTTCAACGACAGATGAACTTAAATCAAATTTTAAACAAGGAATTAACAGTAGAACTTCAATGTAAGTGGCTTTGATTTAAAATGTCTTGACTGCATAATGAAAGCTCAATATGAAGTCAGACTTCTGTCGCGACAATTGAAATCAAAATGAGTCTTCATTATGATAGGAACTGCAAACATTAATATCGATTTGCTTTCATTTTGTTTACCGACTTTGCTCGGGTACGCATCCTTCGCGCCGCATTCCAAAGCGTATTCATCGACGTTTCGCGCGATAATCCGTCCACGAATTGCCGCCAGTATCCGCGTTTCTTGGCTTTGTAGACTTCGCACTTGTTCGCTGTGAATACTACCTTGTTTCCTCGCTTACAGATGGTGCTGACCGATAACAGGTGTTTTCAACACATTAGCAACTTCCACGCTTCCTTCTGCAGTTTCCACGGAAACCGTTCTCTTTGCAACGGCCTTCATGTTGATGTTGTTTGCTGTTCCAACGTCATGGTCCATGGCTACCGCGTTGACGAAAGGTTGATCCGAACGTGCCATGTGGCTGGTGGCACCGGAATCCAAATACCACTCATCGGTCCTTACATCTCCAGATGGCCAAAATACAGCACGTCCTTTTGACTTGCTTGGGTTCAAAGATGACTTTTTGGCATTAGGACATTTGGCTGCAAAGTGCGCCGGTTTCTCACATTTATAGCACAGCTTCTCACCTTTGTACCGTCCTTTAGCTCGCCGGACTTCTTTCGGTTCGTTTTGCTGTACAGCAGGGCACCTTCTGTGCTGCTGCTGACTGGACCGCGATCCAATTTTACGTCCTGTAAAATTTTAGCCTTCACTGCATCCGCTGTCAAGGCCGTACCGGACGCTTCGAGTCCCATGATCATGGGCTCGTACTGCTCAGGAAGTCCCATCAAGAGAATCGCCGCGAGCCAAGAATCGTCCATCTTGAATCCCACGGATGCGAGCTTGTGACTTGTGCTCATCAATTCGTCCACGTACACCTCAACGCTAGCACAATTGATTAGCCGTACTGACGTGAATTTTCTGAGCAGCCCAATTTTCCTGGTTAATCAACTGTCCTGGAATGCAGATTGCAGCTTCGTCCAAGCTTCCTTCGCAGTTTCCGCATCCTGAACCAGGCTGTAGTTGTAGCTCTCCAAACTTAGGCAGATCGTTGTGAGAGCCTGCAACTTCCCGTCCTCAGGAATATCTTCACCGTCTCCGTCAATGGCAGACCACCCGAGCAAAGTCGGTTAACAAAATGAAAGCAAATCGATATTAAAGTGTGCAGTTCCTATCATAATGAAAACTCATTTTGATTTCAAATGTTGCGACATAAGTCTGATATCATATTGTGCTTTCATTATGCAGTCAAGACGTTTTAAATGAAAGCAACTTAACTTGAAGTTCTGCTGTTTACGTCTTGTTTAAAATTTAATTGAAATTCATCTGTCGTTGAACTAATGATTATCGTTTATCTGATTTGTTTAACACATTTTAGGTCATTCGTGACTTGCCCGCGGTGAGATTGGAGCCTAAGTCTTTCAGCTTGAGAAACATGAATGGTAACCATTTACTCTAGGCCCGTATTCAGTTAAACATTATGAATGCAAAATCAGTAATCAAATTGATTTCATTGAAAGCAGGATTAGTTTTCCGTTTGCTTCAACAGTGTAAAATTTTGCTCTCATTTTTGCTGTGTTAACCGTTAAGTCAACCAAAATGAGATCAACTGGAGTATTCAAAATAAGTTACATCATAACAGCAAATTTTGATTTCAATTTGATCTTCAGCTTTGCTCGGGCAGCTTCCTTCACGGATCAGAATCATCCACATCGCAAATGTCCACGTCGTATAATTCCCTCTTCCTTCCAGCTTTTCAATGGCTGGCAGCGCAATGGAACTTCGAACGCTTCCTGCTTCAATCCTGCCTCTTCCGTTGCCATCTCCGTTCCCTTGGCCTTGCTGTCCGGATGCCGAACTTCCGCTTGTGGACATACTGCTACTTCAATGAAAAAATCTTCTGAATCTTCCGGTTAGGGGTTCTGGGCCCATAACCAATTGTAGAGTACGATTGAAACACGTCTTTATTGGTTAACGTTGTACCTACAGTGGATTTATTTTATATTTCGACAGTGAGCATGCATAAGGGCGTAAACGCGATGATCGATTCTCTTCGTCGATTTTCTCTTTTGTTAATAACTCGCTAGAACTAACGTTTCTCGGTGCGTTTGCTGTTGCTTTTGATAGCCAATACAACCTGTTACAACTCTGCATTGAACAAATTCTAGAAAATTGTTTCGCTTAGCTGTAGCAATGCAAAGAGAAAATCGATGAAGAGAATCGATCATCGCGTATACGCCCTTATGAATGCTCACTGTCGAATTTTCTCTTTACAACAGTGACACGGATTATTACAGACTACTGCGTTATTCAATAGTGGCAACGTGGATAAAACGCCGGAGCATGTGGTCTTCGACTGTTCAAAGTTCGAGGCAGTGCGAAGGGAGATGACCATCCTTAACGTGGACAATGTCGTCGATGAAATGTGTCGAGAGGAGAGTACTTGGATGCCGTCAACAGAGCAGTAACGCAGATTATGTCGGAGCTGCAGCGTAAATGGAAATAGGAGCAGCGATCTAGCAACGCCAGCTACCGCTGAGAGTATGCACAGCTTACACACATTTCACCCAACCAAGACCGCACAACCATTAAACAAAAACTATGTCACATAGAGACTGACAAGAGGTAAGTCAAAGTTACACACCTCCAGCAGCAGCAGCATCAAGGCAGTCATCATAATTCTATCGAACATCTGCGCGAAGCATTCTAATTCAACCGCATCAAAGCAAAGGCGCACATCCGTCATCTAAACGCGCACATGCATTCTCCCAGCATAGCGTACGAAACACATTAAAACGAAACCGCTAGAATGTCACAGTAGCACCCAAGAAGATATTAATCTCCGGCTAAAAAGACGAACAACCCCGCAAAGCGACCGTGACGAACGGCACCAAGCGAGCGTTAAGTCCATATCCTGTCCTCCTGTCCCTACCTAAGCTGTGTCTAATCAATGGTCTCAACGACGAAGGAAGGAAATGAGATTTTAAATTTTCACACCACCACCCACCAAGAAGGGACAAGCGTTCGGAAGTAGTTTTAGGTATGGAATCACGCTGCTCTATGCTGTTGGTAAGTTATAGCTTGTTATGTATATACTGTTCGAAATTCTGACCGATGATGATAAACACTTTTTTGCAATATTTAATTACTAATTGGAAGTAGCATCGTAGCCGAAGGGCGACGCGATTCATGCGGCCTTCGCCAACGCTTATGAAATAGGGACACTATAATTGATTTAGATCTGCCGAAAAAGTGGAAATACACACACACACACAGACTAAAGGAGATTTGAGTCATAGGGTGTGTATGGGTAATATATAAACGGGAAAGATGGTTTGCTAAATTATCGTATCATCTCTGTCATGATGCGCTGTGCTCTATCGTTAGTTCTTCCGTGAGGCCCGTCGCTTCATCGAGCTGCTGCACTGTGGACAGTACCACTTGCCCTTGGGCGTCGAGGTGATGTTCACACACGGATAGTGGAACCACTCGAACGGGCACTGGAAGAGAGAATTTTTTGATAAGACACATGTTTCAACAGTGATCTTCAACGGTATTGCAGGAAGAGCATTTGTTTTTCAATCCTCCATACAATATCTCCCTCTTCGGTTGAATAAATCGGTATACTTACATCCTCGTTGTCGCATGCCACCATATCGCCGTACGAAACCTGATTGCAGATGCAGTACCGCGGTTCGTTGGGATCGTACGTCCACTCGCCTTCGGCCGTCTGCTCCACCACCATTCCGTTCTCGTTGAGCACCACGTTCGGCCCCACCGGAGGACCACCTGGATGATGGGCGGTATGTGCCGATCCTCCAGAACTGGCACCACCAGTCACACCGCCACCGACGCCGCCGATAACACCACCACTGCTGCCACCAACGACACCGATGCCGGAACCGCTGCTGGAAGATGCAGACGATCCACCGATGCCTCCTCCACCAGCACCACCACCACCACCAACACCACCACCAGCACCAACAGCGACGCTTCCGCCTCCGACTCCGCCGCCAACGGTCCCTGCTCCCACTCCCGACAGTACTCCCGGAACGGGCGACTCTAAAAGATCTAGAGACGAGGACGACAAGTTAGGATTGAGCGCGGCTGAGTGCAGCTGCTTCTGGTGTGCTTGTAACAGTGTAGCTGTTGCGGGTGGATGAGCGTGTGTGTGTGTGTGCGTTCGGGTGTGCATTGAGGGATGAAATGGAAAATGTTTGTGTTAACTCTTTCAGATGGCATTTTGATGATGTCAATGATTAGAATAGGAACCTTCGATCACTAACCTGCAGCAGAAGTATTGGCCGTCAGCTTCTTCTTCTGGTGTCTTCTCTGCTGATTGGAGAAGGCGTTGCTGGTTTCCCGTTCCACCGCCTGCAGGGCGTTGTGGGTCGCTCCGGCCAGTTCCCTGTTGTTGATCAGCAAGTCGTGGGGCCCAGTTCCGGTTCCGCCGGCTCCATGGATAGCTTCGTAGGAAGCCTTCAAACTGGCAGTCCTCCTTCCCTGTTGCATCTGCTGCGTTTGGGCTATGGCCTGGCTGGCAGCCGCCGCTATGGCATTACCCGCCCCAAACTGTTGCAGATTGTAGGCCACCGAAGCGGTAGCCCTCGGCGGTACGGAAGTAGCCGGTGATAGCATATGGAACGGTTCACTGGCCGCAGCAATGTTCGGCGTTGTCGGTCGAACTACAGGTCCACTTACTATCCCTCCACTGGCAGTGGCCACCGCCTGACGCTTTTCCGGTGGAGCACCCACCAAAGACGGAACCGGAATGCTGCTTTCCCGACGCTTTTCTGGCTTGATGCTGTATCGACTTTCCACCCGAGCCGCAGTGGACCCCGAAATAGCACTCGATATTCCACTCAACGTGTCAAAATAGCGATTCTCCTTCTGATTCAGGCCACCATTGCTGGTGGAAGAGTCCAGCTCCAAAGAGCGTTTCTCCAGAATCTCCGTTATGCCATTGTGATCCGCCTCCAGTTCACATTTGAACTTGTACAGCTCACTGTCCAACCGCCGGAGATACCGGTCCACCAGGTCGTACATTTGGCCGGCCAGCTGTACCTTTTCGTCGGAGTCTTCCAGGACCCGGTAGTAGTCCTTGCGGATCGAGTGAAATTCGGTATCGGCTAGGCCGCCAACCAGTTCACCCCGGCGGCACTGCTGGAACAGTGTGCGAGCCCGTTTGTCCAGCGAGTCGATGTTGTCTGGAAGGAGAAAATAAGTGTTTTGTTTTTAAATCGCGATTAAGGCCATATTTACGGAGATAAACGCGATTGAAGATTTGGGTAAAAAATCATGATTTTGGGAAAAACAAATCAAACATCTAAACACCCCTAAAATTGCGATTAAGACCATATTTACGGAGATAAACGCGATTAAAGATTTAGTGAAAAAATCATGATTCTTGGTTTTCTATTGAGAAAAAATGCATTTTAAAATTTCGAACATCCAAACACCCATAAAAACGCGATTTTCTACTTTCTTAAGGATTCTAACGGCTATAGGTACTCTGTTTTAACTTACTTTGTACGGAGAGATCCATTTCTCGCATTTCTGTAAACCTATCGCGAAGTTCTTGAGGCAAATGCTCAATCACTGCAATGAGAAAAAAATAGTCAACATTAGGTCTACTTACATAATAATAACGAATTATTATTTTTGAAATCGCCTGACGAACAATTTAATTAATGTCATTTAACTATTCATGTAACGATTCCAAAAACGTGACGATTTCAAATTATTGCGCCAACGCATTCAAACATCTCGCACTCAACTCGCGAACGCACCCCCACCGGACCGACGTTTCCCGTAAGGTTAGTCTGTCCTTTTTCAACCATCCGTCAAACACCGAACAGCAACAGCAGCAGCAGCGGCTTACTCTTGCGAAACTTTTCCAATAATTGCTCGGAAAACGGATTTGTACTCACTTTCCAGATAATCCTCCAGGTACAGCATCTTCCGGCAGTGCTGAGCAACGTTCGGACACAGGATACAGGTGAGTAACTGATTGATTTTCCACCGAAAACACGAATTATTTTACACCAACTTGCTTTTGCTTGGGTGTGTTTTGGTTTTTAGAAATTTCGCAGTTTGACGTTTCGCTTTGCAGCTTTATTTCGTGCGATGGTAGCAGTGAACACACCCCGCAGTGTTATACTGCGGGTGCGTGTCTTCGCTGTTCTCCGATTATAGTGACCGCTTGATTTTCATTCCAGAAAGGTATAGAAATGCGTCGTCGTGAGATTCAGAACTTTTCCCTTAAGCTGAGCGATCTCAAGGAGTACGAGCTGGCCAAGCAGGAACGGCTGGCCCGGACCAGCGATGAACGGTCCGGTGGTGGAGGTGCGGCTACCACAACGATAGCGGGTGGTTCCGGGCTGGCAGCCGATGTCGATCCGATGAAGACACCCGAAGTCACGATGCCAAGCCTGCCCAAGTTGGGCCTTGGTCCCAAAACGAAACAGGAAATTCGGGCGCGGATAGGGTTTCCACCGGATTTGCCTTAGTGCAGAAGAAGAGATGGTTCGGAATAAAAGTTAGAATGTAAAAGCATACGGGTGTATCGATCTGTCCGAACAAAAATTATATATGCCTACATAGACAAACCAAGTGATTATTAAATACCTAATTGATTTCGATAAAATCTTCTACTCATAAAATTTATTGGTTGAAACAATTTGCATGGGGAAACTACGCGAAATCCACTAATTAGGGTAGAGCGCTACTTCGTCGTAATCGCCCATTTCCGTTATATCGATCAGAAAACATCAATCATATCAATGGTTTCACAGTGCACAATTCAATAATAAGTTTGTTCCGATGCGTTAGTTCATTAGCTATAACATAAATCCTGTTAGAGCGCATTGTATGAATATTTACGCACATTGTTCTCAAAACAAAAGAAGCGTTCCTAGCGAATCCCCTTTTTCTACGTTTATCTGTAGGACGAAGAAAATCTAATGGCGTTTCAATGCATTAGGACGGAATTGAAACTCGTAGAACGAATTTAGAATCAAGAACCAGTATTAGATTTTAAACAATAACCCCTATTCTGTATTTCGTTTCGAACGAAATTCTCATACAAAAAAATATTTTTTTGTATGAGAATTTCGTTCGAAACGAAATACAGAATAGAGGTGAATATCTCAACAATTTGTGACTCTTTATAAAATCCAACGGTACGTATGGAAAGGTGAATAAATTTAGACGTCATCTTTGACAAAAATATTCCATTTTTTGTTTAAACTCATTCAGAAATGACAGGTAAAGCGCGGGTTGTGCTTAGTAGGACGGAAATTTGATCAAAAACCCTATAGCGTCTATTGACGGATTAGAAATCGATGAAAGTGCTTGGCATCCGTTTGACCAAAAAAAGCTATTATCACCAGCGTTGCCAGGTAATTTTCAGAAAATTCTAATCCAGTCGATAGTGACTGAATTCAATTGACTCAGAGCATTTTCATTCCACACGAAATTTACTCATATTTGGGAAAACCTGCAATTACTCATTAGCTATGAGTTGCTGCATGTTTTCCCAAATATGTGTAAATTCCATATGAAAAGAAATTGCTCTGAGTCAATTAATTTCAGTTGCCATTGCCTGGATCAGATTTCGACTGGAACCTCTTTCGCCGACAACGTCAGAAAAAATCCTCTGGAACTTTCGTTGGCAACATCGGAAATCTCCACCGGAATCGACTGGAACCTGTTCCGTCCCCCCGGAACCTTAATTGGCTTGGCAGCCTCGAAAATCTGCACTGGATTCGACTGGAACTGTCTCATAAGAATCCACCGGAACTTTTGTTGGCAGCTCCGGCAATCTTCACCGAAATCGAATGGAACCCTCTTCGTTGAGAATAATCATCAAAATTTTAAGTTTCAGTTCATTTGTCAGCATCGAAAGTCTCTGGAATCGACTGCGTACGGTCAACCGGTGGAATCTAACGATTTTAAATTGGCTCACTTCTTGACTAGCCTATTGGCATAGAGGTAACTCTAAGACCACTGGGTCCCGAAGAAAATCATTATTATTTTTGGCTCACTCAGTACCAGAACAACGGTCCCAAGCAGTCCCAAGCTATTTCACTCACCCCTGCATGTTCTGCATGAATCCACACACCCCTGATGTTATCTGTCAAACTTTCATAGCGAATCAAAACAAACATAGTGTAGTAATAGAATTTCAACTAGAATAGGGTACGTTAATCGTTTGCTTGGGACCAATAGGCTACTAAAGTGGTGAGCCAATTTAAAATCGTTAGTTTCGTATTGATTGTTGGTACACCTGCCCGAAGCCGAATCCCGGTAGGGAGTTATAACAACAATCAATACGAAACTAACGATTTTAAATTGGCTCACCACTTTAGTAGCCTATTGGTCCCAAGCAAACGATTAACGTACCCTATTCTAGTCGAAATTCTAGTACTACGCAATGTTTGTTTTGATTCGCTATGAAAATTTGACAGATAAAATGAGGGGTTATTGGTTTTTCCTATGTTTCAAGGGGTGAATCGATTAGCTTGGGACCGAAGAGAGTACCAGAGCTGCGCCAAAAAGTTGAGCACGTTATTTCGGGACCTTCTAGTCTTAGAGTTACCTCTATGGTTATAAGCCGGATCTCTGCAGGTTAGTGAATGTGTTTGCTAATAGCAAAAATAAAGTGGAAGTGCAGGCATAACATTTGATAACGGCACAAAAGCATTTGTAAACAAACGTTCTAAGGCCCTTTACACGCGAACCAAAGTACGCTCACGCAAACCAACAACATCATCGGATAGGGGCAACTATCACCTTTCCGAAAATGGTATTGGTTTGCGTGGGCGTACTTTGGTTCGCGTGTAAAGGGCTTAAGAAAGTTTGTTTACAAATGCTTTTGTGCCGTTATCAAATGTCATGCCTGAGTGGCCCCGATGGAAATCCAATGACGGATTCCATAGACGGATCCCGATGACGGGTTCCGTAAATGGAGCCCGATGGGGAAACCGAATACGGATCCCGATGGGGAAACCGAATACGGGTCCCGATTGGGATTCCGTAAAAGGATCCCGATTGGGATTCCGTAAAAGGATCCCGATTGGGATTCCGTAAAAGGATCCCGATGGGGAAACCGAATACAAATAACGATGGGGAAACCAAACACGAATCCCGATGGGGAAATCGAATACGGATTCCGTAGACGGATCCCGATGGGGAAACCGAATACGGGTCTTGATGGGGATTCCGTAGACGGATCCCGATGGGGAAACCGAATACGGATCCCAATGGGGAAACCGAATACGGATCCCGATGGGGAAACCGAATACGGATCCCGATGGGGAAACCGAATACGGATCCCGACGGGGAAACCGAATATGGATTCCGTAAAAGGATCCCGATTGGGATTTCGTAAAAGGATCCCGATTGGGATTCCGTAAAAGGATCCCGATGGGGAAACCGAATAAAAATAACGATGGGGACACCGAATACGAATCCCGATGGGGAAACCGAATACGGGTCTTGATGGGGATTCCATAGACGGATCCCGATGGGGAAACCGAATACGGATCCCAATAGGGAAACCGAATACGGATCCCGATGGGGAAACCGAATACGGATCCCGACGGGGAAACCGAATATGGATCCCGATGGGGAAACCGAATATGTTAGCAGCGGTTAGAAAAATCTTAGAAGCTTTTAGAACACTTTTAGAACGGTTAGCAATGGATATTTTGGATAGGTTCAGCTTAGATAAGGTTCTTCAAAAATATTACGTTTTTTTATATATTCGCCCGCTTTTTCAGCGAAACCGATTGAGCCATCCTCTTTCTCGAACGTCATTTCGATTGGAAGTGAAGTTTTCGAGTAATGATTCACTGAAAAATTTTCCAATACGCCATTTTTAAGTTTTTATCGTGATTCAAAATAACCGAATTTTAGCTCAAATGTGAATGATTAACCATAACAAACAATTATTATGCGAAGTTTGATGCAAATCGGAGAAGGTCGCATTAGATCGATTCGTCGTTTTGCGTGAAACTGCACGTGATCTGTTTCTGTGTCAAGACGACTGAAAATCTGGAATACTGGCAACGCTGACTCTCACCCACTATTGCAAACTGTTATACCAACAATTATTCTGTTATATACAGATAACTGCGCTTGTGTGCGTGCAATCACACACCCCACCCCCCTAAAAAAAAACAACCAAACGACTTGGATGTCCTGTCAATGGGAAACACAAACAAAAAAGACACCAAAGGATAACACGCATCAAGGTGGAGGAAAATTTTTCGCGATTTCAAATCCGTTTCCGTCGTCGTTGTCGTCGCGAAAGTTAGCATTAATTCGCTTTCGTCCAATTAATTTCGGCGCGAGTTCCGATGCCAGTTGCGAGTGTCGTGCGTGCGGCGGATTAGAAGCACCGGAACGAGGACGAGTCAATGTCGCTCAAGCAACAGCAGCAGCACCAACCCCTGCTGAACCCGGAAGTGGGCGGCGTCGGCAGTGCGTGTGCAATGGAAAAATTGCTGGAAGCCCAGCAGCAGCAGTTGGATGACATAACGAGCGAATCGTCCTTCCTGGAGTTTCTCCGGAACGAGCAGAGCTGTCTGACGGGTGTCACGAATGGGAACGGTTCCGGCGGGTGTGCGGAGGAGGTGGATGTGGATAGGATTTTCGAGCAGGTTAGCCAGTTGGCTGGGAGCGGAGAGGATGGGAAAAGTGTTGAAGAAATTCTGAGGGAAGCGGAACAGCTGATCCGGAAGCAGCATCCGCTGTTCGGGGGAAACGGTGCCCATGAAGACGACGATGGCGGTGCATGTGACGGGATAAGGCAAGTGCAACGGGCCATGTGTGGGTATAGGGACATTTCCTGCGAATCGACGCCGATGGAGATGCGGACCGGAGTGCTGGAGGAGCTGGAGGCAATCGCTCGGAGGGAGGAGGAAAGCAAGGCCTTCGCCATGGTGAGTACTGACTTTTCATTTGAGTATTTTATTTGTGAATATTCCTAGTTCTAAGAATTATTGAGTTATTTCAACTTGGAAATGGCTTTGGCCACGGTATCGACGAATATGAACGCTTCCCGTCCGGTAGGTTGAATCTGGTTGGCCGGCAGAACGAATCCATTTCGACCACTGTCGCGCAGTTCCACCGTGTAGGCGTATTTGATTTTCATTTCACCGCGAGCCCAATCGTCCGAACCACCAGCGGCCGGGTACAGAGTATTGCCGGACGGTCCCACCGTGTAGGAAGATCCTTCCGTTGCAAGCATTTTCTGTAAGGTGGAAGGTTGAATAATGGTTACTGTCTGTCACAAATTAGGATTTAGTAGAAAGCCTCACCTTAGCAGCTTCGTCTCCGACTTGCTTGAGATCCTGGTGATCTGGTGGGACCAAACGATCGTAGCCCCAAGGGTACAGAATGTACTGTCCATAGCTGTGGAATGTCAGGAATCCCTTCCAGTTGGCCGCTGAATTTTGCATGAAGTTGTACACCGCTTTCGTTTCCGGTTCGGAGAATGGTCCACTTCCAGCAAAGATGTCCGAGCAGGGTTGCTTGGAGGAGCCCTGGCCGCCCCATTTGTAGCCATAGTTGCGGTTCAAATCCACTCCGGCACACGGTCCGTACAGTGAACCTCGACGGTTCTTCCGCCACAGTCTATCGTTCTGATGGGTGTACTCATATCCGTCCGGATTGTGCACCGGAAGGACGTACCAATCGATGTTTCGAATGTACTCCGGCTGGTCGTCCCAATCCTCGACCATGTTGTTCACGATGAAGGTCACCGTAGCCGGGCTGATCCACTCCCGAGCGTGAATTCCTCCGTCGATCCAAACGGCTGCATTCGAAGGATTTCCATTGGAGATGCGAAGCACCTTCAGGTCCCGCTTTTGGTACGATTTCCCAATGCTCTGGCTGCTGCAAATGTCCGGGTACGTCTTGGCCAGGTAGTCCATCCAATCGTGAATGTCCACCAGCCGGTGGTAGGCCGTCCAGGTCATGCGGTGGCCTGTGGAAATGGGAAACGCTTTTTAGTATGAGGCGATCCGAACAACTTTTCGAACAGGCTCCCACATTGAAAGAACTCCTTTGTTTGCCCGTGTACAACAGTCCTCACAGGTTAGTCCTTTTCTTTTGTCGCTATAAAACCATATTAACGTGCAAAGCGCTGAAAGGGCGAACATGTAACAATCTATCAAGTGGTTGAGGGGCGCGGGGAATGTTTGGCGGGTGTGTCTAATTGCACACACCGGCTGCAATTGTTGGCAATTGTAAACCGGCCGAGGGTAGGTAGGTACTTAAATTAGTCTTCGTGGAAGAGTATTGATAAAACAACCTTACCAAAAAAAAGTTCAGTCTCGCCACCCGGTCGATCGGTTCGGTTGGCGTGAAATTAATTACAATTCTACCACACTCGCTTTCGATTGAAGAACGATTTCTGCATTCGAGAAAGTAGTCAGTTCCGTAGTGTTGTGATGAAGACGGACGGATGAAATAAACGTAGTAATTGCTTTAATTACTTTGCCTTCGGCTTGGATTGGAACACGCGATTAGAAAAGGAAGCTCGGCGTAAATTGTAAATCACGCATCGAGGGATATTCGACGATCGAATTCTAACACCCGTACCGCACCAGGCCCTAAAGGGTGGATGATGGATTGGTTCGAGGTGAGTTTGTTCGACGCTTCGGGTGTTATTCGGGTTATCTCGCCTTCCCGGAAATTAACTTTTAGTAAAGAGAGGGCTTTTCTTTTCTAATTTCTTGAATGATTTGCATGAAACACGCGATGTTGGTCGGACGAACACGTTTCACGGTTATAATGTTCCCGCAGTAGTCAGTCTTGAGGATACACGCGGCCAGAAAGGTCAAGGGAGTGGTAATTGGTTCGGTGATTATGATTGTATGCTACTTGAAAGTTAGGTGAAATGAATTTCGTACACGCAATTCTGCTTTCGCGTTGCACTTCGTCCCTTTTAAGCGGAGTTTGTTTTGTTTGAACGGGAATATTTTAGCCAAATTTCCTGAGCTGCAGAGGGGCTGTTCATAAACTACGTAGACAGTTTTTTGGGATTCTTGACCCCCCCCCCTCCCCCTGCGTAGACAATTGTCCATACAAAAATTTTAAAATTAGTATGGGCCATGGATAATTGTCAACCCCCCCCCCCCCCTAAACTGTCTACGTAGTTTATGGACAGCCCCAGATGAACTGTACTTTAAACATACGTTCCCGCACATTTTTTAAGGCCGAAAACTCAAGTAAAAAAAAAACTGAACAAGTTGAGTTTGAAATCATAAATAATGATCAAAGTAGAAAAGCTCGAATAGATCCAGAATCAGGCCCACGATCTTGAAAGTTCTTCAGGTCCAAGATTTCGATTTACATTGTCAGGGTGTCTACTTCCTGCAGGGCTGATAGTGGGTCACTTTTTAGTGACTTTCCCGTTTTTTTTTTAAGGTGGATCCCCCAGTTTAAAAAATTCTTTATTTGTTGGCTGATGGACTTCCCAAACCTTTAAATCGATTTATCTCCTTAAATATGGCTCTAATCGCGATTTGGGGGGTGTTCAGATGGTCGAAATTTTTGTACCCAGATTTCCCAGCATAAAATATTTAAAAATTCTCTATTTGTTGGCTGGTGGACTTCCCAAACCTTTAAATCGATTTATCTCCTTAAATATGGCTCTAATCGCGATTTGGGGGGTGTTCAGATGGTCGAAATTTTTGTACCCGGATTCCCCAGTATAAAATATTTAGAAATTCTCTGTTTGTCGGCTGGTGGACTTCCCAAACCTTTAAATCGATTTATCTCCTTAAATATGGCTCTAATCGCGATTTGGGGGGTGTTCAGATGGTCAAAATTTTTATACCCAGATTTCCCAGTATAAAATATTTAAAAATTCTTTATTTGTTGGCTGGTGGAGTTTCCAAACCTTTAAATCGATTTATCTCCTTAAATATGGCTCTAATCGCGATTTGGGGGGTGTTCAGATGGTCGAAATTTTTGTACCCAGATTTCCCAGTATAAAATATTCAAAAATTCTTTATTTATTGGCTGGTGGACTTCCCAAACCTTTAAATCGATTTATCTCCTTAAATATGGCTCTAATCGCGATTTGGGGGGTGTTCAGATGGTCGAAATTTTTATTCCCAGATTTCCCAGTATAAAATATTTAAAAATTCTTTATTTATTGGCTGGTGGACTTCCCAAACCTTTAAATCGATTTATCTCCTTAAATATAGGTCTAATCGCGATTTGGGGGGTGTTCAGATGGTCGAAATTTTTATACCCGGATTTCCCAGTATAAAATATTTCGAAATTCTTTATTTGTTGGCTGGTGGACTTCCCAAACCTTTAAATCGATTTATCTCCTTAAATATGGCTCTAATCGCGATTTGGGGGGTGTTCAGATGGTCGAAATTTTAATACCCGAATTTCCCAGTATAAAATATTTCGAAATTCTTTATTTGTTGGCTGGTGGACTTCCCAAACCTTTAAATCGATTTATCTCCTTAAATATGGCTCTAATTGCGATTTGGGGGGTGTTCAGATGGTCGAAATTTTAATACCCGAATTTCCCAGCATAAAATATTTCGAAATTCTTTATTTGTTGGCTGGTGGACTTCCCAAACCTTTAAATCGATTTATCTCCTTAAATATGGCTCTAATCGCGATTTGGGGGGTGTTCAGATGGTCGAAATTTTAATACCCGAATTTCCCAGCATAAAATATTTCGAAATTCTTTATTTGTTGGCTGGTGGACTTCCCAAACCTTTAAATCGATTTATCTCCTTAAATATAGCTCTAATCGCGATTTGGGGGGTGTTCAGATGGTCGAAATTTTAATACCCGAATTTCCCAGCATAAAATATTTCGAAATTCTTTATTTGTTGGCTGGTGGACTTCCCAAACCTTTAAATCGATTTATCTCCTTAAATATAGCTCTAATCGCGATTTGGGGGGTGTTCAGATGGTCGAAATTTTTATACCCAGATTTCCCAGTATAAAATATTTAAAAATTCTTTATTTATTGGCTGGTGGACTTCCCAAATCTTTAAATCGATTTATCTCCTTAAATATGGCTCTAATCGCGATTTGGGGGGTGTTCAGATGGTCGAAATTTTTATACCCGGATTTCCCAGTATAAAATATTTCGAAATTCTTTATTTGTTGGCTGGTGGACTTCCCAAACCTTTAAATCGATTTATCTCCTTAAATATGGCTCTAATCGCGATTTGGGGGGTGTTCAGATGGTCGAAATTTTAATACCCGAATTTCCCAGCATAAAATATTTCAAAATTCTTTATTTGTTGGCTGGTGGACTTCCCAAACCTTTAAATCGATTTATCTCCTTAAATATAGCTCTAATCGCGATTTGGGGGGTGTTCAGATGGTCGAAATTTTTATACCCAGATTTCCCAGTATAAAATATTTAAAAATTCTTTATTTATTGGCTGGTGGACTTCCCAAATCTTTAAATCGATTTATCTCCTTAAATATGGCTCTAATCGCGATTTGGGGGGTGTTCAGATGGTCGAAATTTTTATACCCGGATTTCCCAGTATAAAATATTTCGAAATTCTTTATTTGTTGGCTGGTGGACTTCCCAAACCTTTAAATCGATTTATCTCCTTAAATATGGCTCTAATCGCGATTTGGGGGGTGTTCAGATGGTCGAAATTTTAATACCCGAATTTCCCAGTATAAAATATTTCGAAATTCTTTATTTGTTGGCTGGTGGACTTCCCAAACCTTTAAATCGATTTATCTCCTTAAATATGGCTCTAATCGCGATTTGGGGGGTGTTCAGATGGTCGAAATTTTAATACCCGAATTTCCCAGCATAAAATATTTAAAAATTCTTTATTTATTGGCTGGTGGACTTCCCAAACCTTTAAATCGATTTATCTCCTTAAATATGGCTCTAATCGCGATTTGGGGGGTGTTCAGATGGTCGAAATTTTAATACCCGAATTTCCCAGTATAAAATATTTCGAAATTCTTTATTTGTTGGCTGGTGGACTTCCCAAACCTTTAAATCGATTTATCTCCTTAAATATAGCTCTAATCGCGATTTGGAGGGTGTTCAGATGGTCGAAATTTTAATACCCGAATTTCCCAGCATAAAATATTTCGAAATTCTTTATTTGTTGGCTGGTGGACTTCCCAAACCTTTAAATCGATTTATCTCCTTAAATATAGCTCTAATCGCGATTTGGGGGGTGTTCAGATGGTCGAAATTTTAATACCCGAATTTCCCAGCATAAAATATTTCGAAATTCTTTATTTATTGGCTGGTGGACTTCCTAAATCTTTAAATCGATTTATCTCCTTAAATATGGCTCTAATCGCGATTTGGGGGGTGTTCAGATGGTCGAAATTTTTATTCCCAGATTTCCCAGTATAAAATATTTAAAAATTCTTTATTTATTGGCTGGTGGACTTCCCAAATCTTTAAATCGATTTATCTCCTTAAATATGGCTCTAATCGCGATTTGGGGGGTGTTCAGATGGTCGAAATTTTAATACCCGAATTTCCCAGCATAAAATATTTCAAAATTCTTTATTTGTTGGCTGGTGGACTTCCCAAACCTTTAAATCGATTTATCTCCTTAAATATAGCTCTAATCGCGATTTGGGGGGTGTTCAGATGGTCGAAATTTTTATACCCAGATTTCCCAGTATAAAATATTTAAAAATTCTTTATTTATTGGCTGGTGGACTTCCCAAATCTTTAAATCGATTTATCTCCTTAAATATGGCTCTAATCGCGATTTGGGGGGTGTTCAGATGGTCGAAATTTTTATACCCGGATTTCCCAGTATAAAATATTTCGAAATTCTTTATTTGTTGGCTGGTGGACTTCCCAAACCTTTAAATCGATTTATCTCCTTAAATATGGCTCTAATCGCGATTTGGGGGGTGTTCAGATGGTCGAAATTTTAATACCCGAATTTCCCAGTATAAAATATTTCGAAATTCTTTATTTGTTGGCTGGTGGACTTCCCAAAC